GTTTTTAGTTTTTAGTTTATTCAGTTTATTTAGTCTATGATTACAATCTTACAGACTAGATAAAAATAAGACTATCATAATTAACACTAAATACTATAGATTTCGGCCGCTGTGGTGTAGTGGTAAGCAGTGCGCGCTTTCACTCATCAGCACCTGGGTTCAAGCCCTGGTCAAAGCAACATCGCAAAAAATATAGAAATCGAAAAAAGTAATTGTTGAAAAAAAACTACCAAACGATCAGCTAAGATTTCATTCGGAATGGATTTTGAAATCATGAAATAGCTGGAATAAGATCCAGGGAACCGTTTTATTAGGCATTTTCATTCAACTTCCTTTGGATTGAGGATAGGTGTGTCGGCCTTGCCACTTTGATAATATTAAAACAATAAATCGGAGTATTTTCCTTCCCATATTTCCACCAATGTAATAATATTTTATATCAAAAACCATTATCAGTGCTTGGTATTTTTATTTTACTTACGTAGCTCGCACTATTTTCATTAAAAATATATAAATTATGAATAAGAGAAAGAAGATTTTCTTATTCTGAATGCCATCTTATTTTAAATGCCATCTTGCGATCTAAAAATATAATTCTAACGAATGTTCTTCCCAAATAAAACCTTTTTATATTTTGGTTCAAATTTACTTTTAAATTTCTCATCAGATTTTGAAAATAGTTAGCTTTCAAAAATTTTGATCTTAAAGTTTCTAATGTATGCAAAAAACCTGAAGGCGGCTTGAACAGACCGCCCTCCGATAAACAATTAACATATCGTCGTATAAAGTACAAAACCGCGTATCAACAAAATGCCAAACTGCGTATGTGAGGTTGCATAAATTATTTTCTAGAGAGTAAAAACACTCATATTTCAAAATTTTCTCTTTTTCTTAAGCAATCACATTTCAGGCTAGTATATTTCAGGGCAAATGGATAAAACTTGAGCCAAGAGCTTGTGGGAGCAAATCCAATTTTTGGCAAAAAATTTCAGGGTTTGCAGAACGACGATAAGCGGTCTTGTACTTTAAACGACTATATGTAAGTATAATTTTTATCACTTTTCCTTTTTGGCTATTGTTATTTCCGACACCTCTCTGAAGTTGGCAGGACAACTTCTTCTCAAAGCAAAAATTCCTATCCCATAATTTGCCGTTAATTATCCGTAAATTATACGTGAAAAGAATAATTTTGCCGCGGGCATATTTTAAAAAATATCGAAGGAAGCTAGCAGAGCACCTTCTGAAAACCAATAAAGGAAACCAGCTAAACCCAAACTAACTACCTGATAATTTTCCGTAAATTATCCGTTGTTTATCCGTGAAAGGAATTATCTTGCCGCGGAAACATTTAGAAAAATATCGCGACATATTTCAAAAATATCGCGTGCCCTGCTAACTTCCCTGGATGTTAGCAGGGCACCTTCGGAAAACCAATTAAGGAAACCAGCTAAACCCAAACAAATTATTTGATAGTTTGCCGTAAATTATCCGTTGTTTATCCGTGAAAATAATAATTTTGCCGCGGACATATTTCAAACAATATCGCGTGCCCTGCTATCAACGGATAATTTACGGCAAATTATCAGATAGTTAGTTTGGGTTTAGCTGGTTTCCTTAATTGGTTTTCAGAAGGTGCCCTGCTAAC